TTTATCACGTTTATCAGAGTTCAGAACCAATTATTATATATTGGTTCTGAACTCTGATAAACGTGATAAAACAGCACGACATAAGCTATATTCTATCTCTGTCTTCTGTCCTGTTTTACCATTAAATCTGACTTAGTGTTTCGATTTTCTGCCATTTATCCTATGGCGGCACTCGTGATGTTGATTACGTGTTAGACCAGGCAAAGTGGAGGCAACGAGCAGTCCATAGTTATATAGTCAAAGCCTAGGGCCACATTCACCAATCTCCGGTTAACCCAACCGGTCTAGTAACATGCAGGATTGCAACCGAATCTGATGAGAAATCTGATGAGAATCTGAGAAAATATATCAGATTCGGTTGCAATCCTGCATGTTACTAGACCGGTTGGGTTAACCGGAGATTGGTGAAAGTGGCCCCTAATTGTTCTGATTATTCTAACAGTAGGGAACAAAATAAACGATGATTCATTGGACCATACCACATTCTTCCAATCATCAGTCGTCCAAGTTTTATGATCGTGGCACCACTTTTTTCGAAGCTTCACGTTGGCATCCATTATAAGAGGTTTTGAAATTGCAGCCTGCCGTAAATGTTATCTTTGTGGAGCTCTTGCCGTGCTGTTTTTGTCAAAACAGAATTGTTTAAGTAACTGTTGAGTTCTGCTGTCACCTTTGCTGCGGTAGTTTTATGTTGCTTGGTCACAATCCTTTTTAAAATTTGGCAGTCCCTATCTGTTAACGTTGTTTTGCGCCCACTTCTTCTCTTCGCAGCTGTTGTTTTTCTGATTTGTGTAGGTTGTTATTGTCGTGGATACTGTCGCTCGTGAAACGTTCAACAATTCAGCCGTTTTCGTCACAGATGCTCCTGCTAACCGAGCACTCACGATTTGGCCTCTTTCGAAGTCTGACAGGTCGCTCATTTCACCATCCGATTGTTAACGCCGTCGTAGAACAAAGCGAAGAGTATATTGAAATGTAAACTAGAACAGTTACTACGTGAAGTACGCCACATAGGTACATATACGCGCCTTACCATTCATACCTTGGCAGGGCGCCAACATAAACAAATATGTAATATTTAGTATGGTGTTCACATTATTTTGTCCACCCCCTGTATATTTTATGTTTAAGACTTAAAGACATCGTTATAAGACGTCATAAGAACGTTTTTTGACAATGTCTTAAAAACATCTTTCTAAAATAGTATTAGAGACATTTTTACAAGGACATTAGTTATAAGGACATCTTTTTAACAATGTCTTAAAGACATTTTTTTCTGACGTCTTAGGGGCGTCTTCTGGACGTCTTTTCGTAAAATCTTAAAGACGTCTCTTGTAAAACGTTTTTAATACATCGTTTAGACAAGCATGTTGTCTGGAATAATACACATAAACTGCAAAAGTGAGTTGAGTAAACAACATACATATTACAAACATAATTGTATCAATATTTTAAAATAATATTGCTACAATATTACTAAAGTAACTAATCAGAATTCTTCATTGTTGCCAGCCGTAATTAACAACGTCAGTGTTTTCTTGACTAAATATTACTAAAGTAATATTGTTAAATAACGCTTCTGCAATATCTATGCAACACTGTAATATGCAATGTTGCAATGTTGCAGCAATGTTGTTGTAAGCTTCTGTGCTGTATGAGATGTAACATTTTTAGGTATTTGTGTTACATAATATTTCTATGTTACTTGTGGTTTGCTGGGAACATACTGGGTCCTTTTTATAATCGTAATAGAGATCTCTAGAGAATGTTACTTCAAAAAGTGGTTTAAATATTTATATTTTTATCTATCATATTTAATGTCATGACAGAAGTAAAGAGTTCATATTATTAACAGTATAGAACAAATTTTTATATTAATTATGTGTAACATTATGAAAAATATATATTTTAAATATTTTAAATAAAATCATTATATTCTAAGAAAGATAGTAGATTTAATATATATTTTTTTAACTTATCTTTATATTTTTCTAATCTCCAAATGAAAGAGGATGAATATGTAAACTATCATATTGTTATCTCTAATTTTGTTACATTTATTGCAAAAAATAAATTCGATCTGTAATTTCTTTTAAAAAATATAAAACAGAAGCATTTTCCCCTGCCTTACCTCCTTGATTAATAATAATTTATTACTTAATGATATGATAGTGTTGATATACCTATTTATAAACATGTGATTAAATATATATAATATTATAAAATTAGTTCTATAGCTAGACCACTTGATGGGAAGTTATCTCGTGGTCAAGTGATGCTCTTTATCGTACTCATTTGGACGTATACGATTCCTTGGGCCTTGATGCCGCTAATGCATGTTTGGGGTCGGTTTGTACCTGAAGGCTTTTTGACAAGTTGCAGTTTTGATTATTTGACAAATACGTCAGAAATACAATATTTTGTGGCTACAATATTTACATTTTCCTACTGTATACCAATGGTTCTCATTATATACTATTATAGTCAAATTGTCAGCCATGTTGTTAATCATGAGAAAACTCTTCGTGAACAAGCAAAGAAGATGAATGTTGAGAGCTTGAGAAGCAACGCCAATACAAATGCTCAAACTGCGGAAATACGTATAGCCAAGGTATTTTTTGCTTATACACACACACACACACACACACACACACACACACAGGGTGAGTTATTTTAACCAACGCAAGCAAATATCTCTTCGGGGAAGAGAGCTAACAAAAAATGACCTAGGCAAAAGTTGTTGGGTTTCGAGGGAAACATAACATGGTACCATTGGTATGACCTTGAACAGTTGTTTGAAGGTCACATGAAGGTCATATTCAATTTTTTACATGTTGGGTTTCGAGGGGGACATAAGACGGAGTCATTAATTTAACCTTGAATAGTTTCTTGAAGGTCATGTGAAGGTCACTTTTAATTTCTCAATGAAACCCCCTATTCTTTATTATACTACCTTATTCTACTAATTAATATGAACAACTTTTGTCTGAAACATTTTTTGATTTGCCTAACAGTTTTTGAGATATTTAAGAAAAAATTTATAACTTTCAATGTTTAGCTTATGATATCTCGATAACTGTTTGTCGGAGGGAAAAATAGTACAGGACTTTTTGAATTGATTTGATCTCAGAAATATGCTGTTGCAATAGTGCTCCACTTATTGAAAATTTTTGTGTATGTAAATTTTTTGTCTGTTACAATTTAAAAAGACGCCAAGTATAATTGTCATCCAATCAAGCATTATATAATTTAATTATTTGGATATTATATTTTATTAGAAAAAACATTTTTATCTTTTCTACAAAAGTAATGATATCATCAAATAGCGGCAACTAAACTTAATATTTATACAAACTAGATACATTATTATTTTATATATTAAAATGTTATAGTCAAACAATCAAGCATAAAATTTTATCGGAAGTAATAGAGGAAATAATAATATTATTGAGAGAAATTTTTAATACTTATTCCATAAAAATTTAATGCAGATAAATTTAATACAAATAAATATTTTATTAAAAGATCGCCTTTTCTAATTTAATTGTGGGATATACATCGATCCTGATTAATGACATCATTGTTTATTAAAAAAACTTGTCACTGCTAAACCGCTGAAATATACAATCTAAACTTACAATTAACTGTAATCCCTATTTCATAACCCACACGCGCACGCGTATACGCACACGTATGCACAAAAGAAAGAAAGAGTTTAACACTTTTGTAAGAAAAGAGGAAGAGTGATTTGGTTTAGCAGCGCCAAGTTTTTTTTAATAAACAATGATGCCATTAATCAGGATCGATATGTATCCTACAATTAAATTAGGAAAGGCGATCTTGTTATAAAATATTTGGTTGTATTAAATTTATTTGCATTACATTTTTATGGAATAAATATTAAAAATTTATCTCATTAATACACTGGTCCAAAAATTAACGCAACAAGAAATTTACGTCAAAATTTCGCGAATTTCAAATAAGCGTAACTTCGCGAAAACTGGTCGAATGAAAAAGTTTTTTTTTCATTTTATAGGGCAAAGTCTCTGCTTTAAGAAGCTCTTATTTGAATTTGCATTCACTCTTCCCATTTCCCGGAACTTTCTCAAAATCAAGATCATGTTTTTTCTCTAAAAAATTGCACACTTTGACGCACTGTACGGAGTGTAATAATTTTTCTTCGCCAGTTCTGCTTACGATATCAAAAAGTACTTTTCTCTTCAATTAAAAAAAAAAGAAGTTTCTACGATTTTTTCCGTCAATTTACAGCTCATTGAAGTAACCCTTGTGTTTTCGACATTACCGACGATATCTCCGTTAAAAATCATCGTAGCAAGATCTTTTTTTTTTAAATTAGAGCTTGCACTTTCAGCTTCAAAAACTAGTCACTAGATTTTTCCTCGAATGCATCTGCGCTGCTGTAGCTTTTAAAATGTAAGGACAGGTTTTTACCTAAAAAATAACCAACTTTGGCCAGGTGCCCGGACGTAGGAAATTTTTCCTCGCTAATTCTGCTCGAAGTATCAAAAAGTGTGTACTTTTCCCTTCAATTAAAAAAAAAGAAGTTACTGCGATTTTTTTCGCCAAGTTACAGCTTTTTGAAGTAACCCTTGCATTTTCGTTCATTACCGTCGACATCAGTGTAACCCAACGTGCACTTGGAGGTTGCTGATCGACTTTTGCACATCGTGTGGCCCTGAAGAGGGCTCTCCAAATCACGCAGCCTTCTTCCCAACATATCCCATATATGTTCGATATGAATACACCACCGGCTCTCTTCAGTGCCACACGATGTGCAAAATCCGATCGGCAACCTCCACGTGGTGCATGTACATATATCAATGCATTGAAAAATTACCTAAAATTAAAAATTTGCGCCATCTCTTTACATTTTACTATAGATGTTAATTTCATTACATATTTATAGAGATTTGTGGATTCACCTTTACACCTAAAAAACAATTTTATGAGTAATGCTATATATTTTGTTTACTGCTTATTGTTACCATATTATCCCACCTACGTAGTTATTTCTTAACAATCTTTCGAAGTCTTCACTTCTAACGTATTAATAAATCAATAATTTAATTCCCACATTAGCATTTATTAGATTGTAAGTTAAATTTTTTCTTAATCATCACTATATTATTATAAGCCTTATTAATTGCGTATTAATTCGATTATTCTCAGAACATCGGAATTAACCAGCTTCTTACCAAACAACATGAGTCCTCTAGCAAATAACTTTTTAACACTTCTCAGTCAAAGCGGTTTTCTGTAACAAAGTTGACTTTTCTGACGGCATCCTAGATATGTGTATGATGACAATGGGTGAAGTGAACTTTCATTTCAGGAGTCAACATAATTTAATTCAGATGTTTTAGTTACACATTGTTGACTCTTTTTAATCATATGACTGTGTTCCCCCTTTTTTGTACCTTTATTTTTTTTCATGTAATTATTCTTCTCCGTTGCGTTAATAAGGCTCCAAAAAAGATCAAAACATATATGTTTTTGTTAAGAAATCTATGTGTTTAAAGTTTTCATGCACTTAAAGTACCACGCTTAGTTCCAATCACCTTATTTCTCTAACATTGAATTATATTTCTCAGAGCCTTTTTATTACTTATTTATATTTATTAAATTTTGTGCATTGAAACAAAAAATACAAGATTTATGTAATTTTTTTATAGGCTGCCATAACAATCTGCTGCCTCTTTGTTCTTTCATGGACTCCATACGGCATTCTTGCAATGATTGGTGCTTTTGGAAATAAGACATTGCTAACTCCTGGTATTACAATGATACCGGCGTGCACATGCAAATTTGTAGCTTGTTTGGACCCATATATATATGCTATAAGCCATCCAAGATACAGGTAATAAAACTAGTGTATTTTCTTTTCAGTTTCTTTTTATCTGAATTATGTACTAATAATAAGATCCCAGATAACATGCATGTCTAAAAGACATCTTTTAGACATACACGTCTAAAAGATATCTTAAAGACGTTTTAAAGAAGTCTTGAAGATGTCTTTTAGACAAGCATGTTATCTGGGATATAATCTACTACTGCAGCTTATAATGATTATAACATAAAAAATCGATAAAGAATGAGAATAAGTGTCCTTAGGCAAATGGCCCCATTTTTTCACATTCGATTTTGGTCACAAAGTAGGTGCCAAACAAAAATCTCATTAAGCTGATTACAGGTATGTCAGTCTCAGAGTGTACCTATTTAACGTTCCAGAGATATCGGGCTCCAAAAATTCCCAAACCGAGTTGGAGTCGGCTGAAAGGTTTCCTGATGGATTCTCAAAAATCACTTAATCCAGCTAAAACTTACTTAGGTTCATAGAAAATACAGGACAATGTCGTTAGAATCGACTATTGGGAAACTTTTTAGTCGACTCCAACTCTGTTTGGGAATTTTTGGAGCCCGATATCTCTGGAACGTTAAATAGGTACACTGTGAAACTGACATATCTCTAATCAGCTTGACGAGACCTTTCGTTTGGTACCTATTTTGTGACCAAAATCAAATGCTAAAAAAATGGGGTCAATCTTATTCTCTCTTTGCTTTGAAGGTCATGTCTCAGATAGTCAACTTCAATCACAACAGATTTTATCTAAATATAATAAATGTGTACAAGTATCTTTATTCGGTTTTTAAACTTTATATAATTTTTATTTTAAAATCTTAAATTTAACATTTAAATGTAGTTCATTCTTTGACCATAACTGGCAAATGTCTGTCTTTTATTTGTTAAAAATCGCTACGTTTCGACCATGGTTTTTGGTCCTTTTCAAGCTACCTGGGAACAGAACTGTATGAAAGTGATGACATGCAATATGATAGTCGCTGTGTTAAATAAGTTTACAATGTTGTCGAAGTTACCTGTTTGACGATCTTATATGTAAGTTATAATATGTAACGATGGTCTTAAATGTGGGATTATTGCTTCAGTATCGCGTCCGCTGGTGTAACACACTTACTTATCTATTTTAAGTTTTCGTCGCAACGGTTGGAAGTAGTTACGCGTAGCAAGGCCAACAGTAGACTGAGTTCAAGTGGTAACCGGTAACTGTGGTGTGTCGATAAACAAGCGGAAGGGGAACAATGTTATTTTTGTTAGATGGTATACAGGGTGTTACTTAACCCTTAAACTACACCTGGGGTCAAATTGACCCCAACAAAAGTTTGCGTTAAAATATCTGCTATATAAAATGTGAAGTTGGAACTTATGGCGTCATCTGTTGGTAGTTGAAGTCTTGCTTTTTAAGACTACACACTAGTTGTGGGTCCCAAGGTGCTAGTTGACTAGTGACAGTCGTTCGAAG